ACTTCATACTTGGGATTTGGGGAAATCTTTGTGCTTCCTTAGGCTTAGAAGTGGATTCTATGGGCTAACCTGTTACCAAATTTGAAGAAATTCAGTCCCCACTCGGCGGTCACAGCTGAAAGCCCACGAGAGCTCCCAGAGTCCTCTCTGGCTTTTGCTTCTCAATGCAGAGGACGCAAGTCAGAGGCAGAGAGATGTCCCCGACTCGGCTACTGGACCTTGTCCTATATGAGGCGCCTGGCCCAACACCGCACTTCGAGAAGATCGGGGTCATGACACACTAGCTGTGCTCCTCGTCCCATTGGGTGAAGTGTTCCCAGCGGCTCCTGGACCGTCGGGCCCTCCTGAACGCACGCTGATGCAGGACACACCTGGTCCACGGCGGCCGGCAGCTTTGCCAGCACAGGACTGGCTCTCCCTTCGGTTCAATCGTGTGTGCGTGCACGTGTGTGCAGGCACGCTCTCACCCTATCACACACCGTGCACTCTGGCTCGGCCTGCAGCCGAGGGCCATCAGGGCACTGCAGGGACCATGCCTTGCACAGAAGTCTTGCTTCAGGGTGGGTCACAGTGCAGAAATCCTGCGCACGGCCCTGGCGATCGACCGAGTCACTCAAAAACTACTTACATCAAGTCAGGTAGTGGTGGGTTTTGTGTTTTTCTGTTCGTTTGTTTTTTCTAAGAAAACAACCTCCAGAGGAATTTTTTTAGCCACTTATTTTCAATGTTAACAAAGAAACAGGTGAATTTGAGGGCACAGAAATGGGCAGCTGACTCCAGAGTTACACAGAGGAAAGAAACAGGTTCTAGACGCATCGAGGTGTAAAGCAGAGAAAACGGCAGTCGGTGCTTTAAGAAGAACAGTTTTGTAAGTCCTTCGTGGGTAACAGCACCCCCGTGGTAAGGATTATTTACCGGATTCCAGTTCCCGTCATAAACGTGACCTCACCGTTCTGCACAGGCCGGTGGTGACAGCCCCCTGCCTTCCCTTCCCTGCAAGATGGTGGCCGGGCTCGAGGGGGCTGGCGTGAGGCTGCCACGGTGGGGCCCAAGGACCTGGCACACAGCACTCCACATGCCGAGTATCCACAGCCGGTGCAGAGTCCAGCTCCCCACATGGGCTGGAAAGGGGCCCGAGCAAACACGCGGGCAGCACGTTAGGATTTCCCCAAATACTGTAAGAAAGAACAAGCACTTGTACTTGAGCACATTAAAGGCTGTGACGCAGAGCTCGCAACGGGTCACGATGAATCTCCACGCTGCGGGGCGGACGTGTGTTGCAGGAGACGGGAAATGAGCGAGCAGGAATCTCCAGGGGAGGCTAGGGGGAGACGAACACCTGACTGCCATCAGAGCTCCTTTCGCAGGGCAAACAGGTGAATTAGGAAGAGACAGGCTTCTCTCCGACAGTAGTGTGGACAAGGCGGGGTACGGCAGCGCTCTCGCCAGAGGCTCAGGGGACAAACCATGCCCACTTCCGAGTCCTGGCTCATTCATTTAACTCCCAGGGAGGCCTTTCTTCCTAACTTGGTTCCCCTGACTCCTCCCTCCGGACGGCAGGCTTGACGCCCCTGTCTGCATGCAGGTCTGCCCCGCCTCCTGGGAATCTGTTTCACACACCGGCTCCGGGTCTCCGGGTGTCCGCTCAGAGGCTGGACTCCTCACCACTGACGGCACGGGAGGAAGTGGGCAGAGACCTCGGGAGCGGCCTCTCTGCACGTGCGAGCCCCGTCCCAGCTGACATCATGCGTCTCTGTGCTGTGCAGAAGGACCTGGCGTCTCAGAGGACACGACTCTGACACATGGACCCAAGCGCCATCTCCCACCTTCGTGCTCCTGAGATGCTGCTGCCAGGAGCCCGTTGGGAGGGGCTGCCGAGAGGGTGGGGAAGGTCCATGACGTCCTGGGCTGTGTGTCTATTGTGTCCAAAGACACGAGAGCTTATGCCTCTCAACCCTGACGTCATTCCAGACGCACTTCTCCCAGCTCTCCAGCCTTTCCCTCCGCCGTCCCAGTGGTGGGCTGGGCGCCGTGCTGACGTGGGGCAGGCAGTCACACGAACCCCAACAAGAGACTGTCATTCCCACAGCTCACACCCCAAGAGCAGACGGAAGGATCCAGTCCTAGAGGTAAAAGTGACGATGGCCCGTCTCTGATCACAGCCACCACTTACATACAGGCCAAATTCGTTTTAAATACAAGGGTCCGCATCCACAAGAGGTAACTGAGGGGTGCTGAGGTGACCTCACATCTACCCCCAAGCCATTTCGGCAGCCAAAGTCCCGAGTCTCCAACAACCAGAAGATCTTAATGGAGGGCGATGCCGGGCTTCTCCCTGGAGAACAGCAGCACTGACTTTGCCTTAGAGAGATCTCTTCTGTCCAGTGTAATCACAGTTCACTCAAACACTAAAAAGTATTAAAATATACTTCATCTTTTCCTCTAACTATGTTTATACATAAATCCCTGAGAAGGTACCTGTCAACTTGAAATTCACTATTTACAGTTAATAAGCATCAGGGGTGCAAGCAGACACCGGGTCCTCCGGCTCCGCACAGCGGGGGTGGGGGGTGCCGTCATTGTCTCTCAGGAGGACAAACTAGGTCTCTTGCTCTTAAAAGTGCAGAGGGGGCCCTTGGCAGATGTTAAACCATCTGCGCAGAGGCTGCAAAACCTGTAGCTCCTCCATCGGGTAGGTGGCGGTCACTACATGGTCATTCAATGGGGACGCCGCACTGCCTCTCACGATCGCCTTGTTTCTCTGCCCTTGTTAGACCTCAGAGTGGTGGTGCCAGGGAAGATCGGGGCATTTAACCAAAACTGGAGAAGAAAACAGGCAAAGGAAGAAAGGCGAGCAAGGAAGAGAGAAGGCAAAGGGGATGGCAGGGAACCACTGTGGAGACCAAGCTCAGGGGACATGTGGAGAGCAGAAGGAGGTCACTGCCCATCAGTGCCCTTGCCCCGGACCCACAGCAGAAGCAAGGTGACAAAGAGTGACCCTCAGCTAGAAAATGCAGCCAGCCATTCAAAGCAATGAAAATACATGAACATGAAAATGATCTCAAAGAATGCCGGACTGGACTGTCGGGGAGCCCAGGGGTGTTTCTTGTCACCTTGGGGACCAGTCCCCATCTCATCCAAGGGGGCTTGGCCAATCCCGACTCACACACAAGGGTGACCTGGAGCCACCTAGTATCAGTGATGCTGAAAGAAAGCTGCATGATCATCGCACGGTGGCCCATCAGTCTGGTCTTGCCTGACAGACTGCTGGTTGAGGTGTTTGGAGAGGGGAGTCTGAGACCCCAGGCTGCGCGATGCACGATGGTGCTGAGCGGGAGGGACTGGGGAGAGGCCAGCACCAACCCAGCCCACAGCATGAGACAGGTGCACATCACCAAGCAGCCAGGGGGCACGATCTGACATGTGATTCCAGGGTCGGCCTCTACTATTTCAAATCTATGGCTTGCAAGTAGGATAATTTTTAAATAAAGTGCCGTCAGTAGTGCATATATGACAGATACTCTGCAACCCAGATGGCCAGAGATTCATTAGGATTACTCAGTGCTTCGGAGACTAAAAAAAAAACATGGACGGAAACTCCCACGGAGAGTTCAGAGCCCACAGCAAATCACATACATGCTCTGCCGAAGTCCCCAAATCTTGGAAACTCTGCAAAGTCAGCATGAGAATGAACTGAAGATCACAGGCAGTCATCAAAGGAAAAATAAAAGTAATTCCGCACCAGGGACTCTTTGGAATTGAGTCTGGAGGAGGGAGAGGGCCAGCCCATGCCAGGAGAATTTGCCTAAAACAAGCTTGTTTAATATTTAGTTCTAATCCCTATTCCTCTACCCCCTCCCCTCCCCCTTTTCAGGGATTTGGATCACTCTGGCGCCTCATTCTTTTGCACCTTTTTTACGTTCTAAAGATACGTGAATTCAATTTATCTAAGAGCACAAAGGAATTAATTTTGTATTTCTAGTAAAAACTTATTACATTTGCCCCCATCTTATTAATAGGCTTTCCTCATATCTATATTTGAATACGTTAAAGTCTTTGCATTCGGCATATCTAAAGTCCCTTGCTTAAAATGTTTAGTTCTAGCAATAAAAACATGCTTCTCTACGCACGGTTTCATACTCTGACAGCAAGATTTCCTTTGTTATTATGACTGTATGAATGAGAGAGCTTTAAAAATAAGATACGAGGAATTCTGATTCCCCTGTCTCGCTTCATTTTGCTGTAAAAGTAAATGCCTCCATGAAATAGAAACAAATATTCAGCATCACTTAATCAAACCAATAAGAAAGCATCACTTAATCAAATCAGTAAGAACATACAATGGCCATGCACACCTACCATGAGAAGGAAAAGCAAAGACCAAAATAAACAGCAAGGAACGGGGAGGCTTCCACAAATTCTGTATGAAATCACAGAGATCTCACAAATAATTATTGCTAGAAACAGTATTTTAAACGAAAGGTCTTTGGGCAAATGTATTCACACCGTCTTAAATACAAAGAGCAGTAAAATGCAAATCTGCTCATGATTAAAATACAAAATGACTCAGAAAAGGCCCTTTGATAAATCGGTCTTAAAAATTTGTCAAGTGAGGTTCTAAAGGTAGGCTTTTAGGCAAACTGCCCGCTAGGTGTACTGATTGCTAAGGGAACTGGTTTGAGGCTAATCTTGTGCGGGGCCCAATTCACTGGAGGTGCTGCCTGAATAAATGCGGGGTTCGTTCCGGACCCCGTACAAGTCCGGCTGCAGGGGATGCGCAGCGCGGGGATGCGCAGCGCGGGGATGCGCAGCGCGGGGATGCGCAGCGCGGGGATGCGCAGCGCGGGGATGCGCAGCGCGGGGATGCGCAGCGCGGGGATGCGCAGCGCGGGGATGCGCAGCGCGGGGATGCGCGCATTGCGCGGGGATGCGCGCATTGCGCGGGGATGCGCGCATTGCGCGGGGATGCGCGCATTGCGCGGGGATGCGCGCATTGCGCGGGGATGCGCAGCGCGCGTTGCGCAGGGATGCGGAAGGGCCCGGGAGGGGAGGAGGGGGAGGCGCATCCTTCCCGGCGCGGAGCCCCGCTGCCCCCTCCGCGCGCCGCACACGCTTCCAGGCGGCCGACCCCTCACGTCCTTTTCCTCCAGGACGGCGCCCGCCTTTCCTTCTGCGCGGCGGCCGCCCGCAGCTTCTCGGCCTCCTCCGCCTTCCTCTTTTCCTCCTTGGCCTCCTTGTACCTCCACTTGGGCAGCTGCAGGTGGGCGCTGTCCTTGGTGCTGCCCTTGGCGGCCGCCCGCTCGGGGTGGAAGGTGGGCGCGGGCGCCTTGCTGACGCGCACCCTGGGGATGACCACGCCGGGCCGCACGCTCGTCCTCCGCAGCAGCTGCAGGGGCAGGAGGCTGGCCCTCCGCGGGGCACCTGGCAGCGGCGGCGACGCCACGCTGGCCCTCGGAGCCCCCTCTTTGGAGACGCCCGCGGCCTGGGAGGTCGGCGGCGGCTGCTCGGCGCCCCCTCCCTGATCACGGCCCTGGGCGGGCGTGTCCGGGTTCCCCCGAGCCTCCAGGATCTCCTGCACTGCCAGCCGCCTTTTCCCCACACACGGAGGGTTCTCGGGGCACACGGTCTGGCAGACGATGGCCACGGCGGGGCTGTAGAGGCTCGTGGTCACCCTGACCATATGGTCCAGGACGCCCCCATCCTCCAGGCCCTGGCGTGAGCGGGAGGTCAGCGTGGAGCGCACGAACTCCGTGAGCCTCTGCAAGCAGTTTTTGGAGCCGGAGGGCTTCAGAACCGCCTCCGGGGGGAGCGGCATCTCTGGCTTGTACTTTTCCCCAAACTGCTCAGGGAAGGGCCGCTCCAGCAGCCTCTGGATGAGGCGGACGGCCTCCAACCGTCCGGTGTAAGCAGCCCACTCTTGCGAGGACATCCCACGGCGGGGGTCCCTGGCATGGACATCTGCCCCTGAGAAAACCAAACACAAACAGTCATGGGACAATGCATCGAGGACTCTTCCCATCGAATGGCAGAAAATGAAAGGCAGTGAAATGGATCAAAGGCAAAACTTCCGCAACCTAGTAACAGTGGCACGGGCATCTGACCATGAACTACCTACTGTGTGTACTGTTGTAACACAGCCCACCTTTAAGTGCTCCTAATTTAATGGCTTGCCTTTCCTAAATAAAACCACCTGACCTCAGCACCTAAATCATGAATTTTTTAAAAATTTTAAATGTTTGTTTATTTTTGAGAGAGAGAGAGATAAAATGCAAGTGGGGGAAGGGCAGAGAGAGAGGGAGACACAGAATCCAAAGCAGGCCCCAGGCTCTGAGCCATCAACACAGAGCCTGAGGTGGGGCTTGAACCCATGAATCATGAGATCATGACCTGAGCTCAAGTTGGACGTTTAACCAACAGGTGACCCTACATCATAGAACTTTTAAGGAAATAAGATTTCATGGCTTTCCAGCCATGAAGAGATGACTAGACAGACTTGTAAACACTTCAATGTTACTACAATGTTCTAGAACACTAAAAGGAATAATCACTTGCAAAGCATTTGGTGTCCCATTTACTTATCATCTCACGATTTCCTCGATCTCCTGTGAGGACTCCGAGGGTCCCCACTGTGCAGGAAATGTGTGGCCCTCCACTTCTTGTACTGAGTGGTGAGCTGGTCCTGGGTCTATCATCTTTACGACTGCGGGCTTCTCCAGGACACAGCCCACATCTTACTCATTTCGGTTTCCTTGACACATGTCATCCTGGCTGGTGGCAGACATGCATTTCATAAAGGTTTGCTACCAAATGGAGAGTCACAGTGGCCAAGGGACCTACCTGAGGCATTGAAGTTGCTAACAGAGAAGGTCTCAGCTGCGTGTACTTCCTGCTGCCCTGCAGGGAGGGTCACTTCCTCTGTGTCCTCTATGACTTAGTGGTTTGTGCCAACATGGCCAGACGACAGTACTCCAGGGATTTAAACAAATGCTAATGTAGGTGCCCTATGAAGGTATTGCGTAGATGAGTTAGCACCCACTATCAGTTGTCTGAGTAAAGATTACCCTCAATAATGTGGGTGGGTGTCATCCAATCAGTTGAAGGCCTTAAGAACAAAAGCTAAAGATTTCTGGGGAAAAAGAATTCAGCCTCAAGACTGCAGCACTGGGGCACCTGTGTGGCTCGGTTGAGTGTCCAACTTCAGCTCAGGTCATGATCTCGCGGTTCGTGGGTTCAAGCCCCACGTCGGGCTCTGTGCTGACAGCTCAGAGCCTGGAGCCTGTTTCAGATTCTGTGTCTCCCTCTTTCTGACCCTCCCCTGCTCATGCTGTCTGTCTCTCTCTCTCTCGGAAATAAATAGAACATTTAAAAAGAATTTTTTATTTTTTTTTTTTTTTTTTTTTTTTTTTTTTTTTTTTTTTTTTTTTTTTTTTTTTTTTTTTTTTTTTTTTTTTTTTTTTTTTTTTTTTTTTTTTTTTTTTTTTTTTTTNTGTGTCTCCCTCTTTCTGACCCTCCCCTGCTCATGCTGTCTGTCTCTCTCTCTCTCAGAAATAAATAGAACATTTAAAAAGAATTTTTTAAAAAGACTGCAGCATTAACGTCTGCCCAAGTTTCCAGGCTGACTACCTGCAACTGCAGATTTTGAGCTTATCAACCCCCAAGGTCCTGGGAGCTAATTCTTTAAAATAAATTTCTTAATATGTATTTCCTATTGATTCTGTGTTTCTGGAGAATCCTGATTCCTATATCCTCAGTCTCCCTTTTACTAGTCACTTCCTTAATAAATCTCCCCATCCCCCTCACCGCCCCCTCCTAATATTGCAAATTTAAACTTCAGCTCAACTTGATGAGATGTTCATAAATTTCAGTGCAGTGGTATAAGAGAAATTAACAAGGAATTGCTGTTCAATTACTCTTGGTCCAATCTCAGCCCCATACACAGTTAAAAATCATGCAGGATTTCAGGTCCCATTAGTCATACTTTGGCAAAGCAGTGTGGAGAACTAGCGCAATTATCTAGTCTGTGAGCTCTCCAGGGACCGGGGCTGGCAGAGGCTTCTGCATTTATATCGCACGCAGACCCAGGTGTCTGACACGCGGTGGAGGCTCAGTATATACTGAACGGAGGTGATGGGGGGGGCTCAGCAGCATCCCTGGCCCGGCACCCCTTCAGTGGCCCCCTGGCGCCAGGAGGCCCGCTTACCTGAGCCTGCCTCATAATGTGCTTCATTCTGTGGCACATTAAAGAATAGACGTATTAGAAGAGTGATAATTATTTGGAACTGGAAATCGGGATGGAACTCATTAGCCAGAGTACAATTTATAAACTGACGACAATGAAAAGAGGGCAGTAAAAGTGTCATCGCAAAAAATAGATGACACATTAAACCTTAATTAATTGCATGTCACTTAAAAAGGAACAAACTGCAAAATTAAAATCTTAACGAACACTGCTTGAGAGAGACATTTTTCAAAAGCTGACGGAAAACTAAAGGAACAGCTGTCCAAAGGGCAGCTCACTGCTTCCTGTTGTTTTCGTACCTTTTCAAAATGATCTTGGGAGGGGCGCCTGGGGGGTGCTCAGTTGGTTCAGTGTCTGACTCTTGAATTTGGCTCAGGTCGTGATCTCACCGTTCCTGGGTTTGAGCCCTGTGTTGGGTTCCGGCACTGACAGCACAGAGCCTGCTTGGGATTCTCTCTTTCCCTTCCTCTCTGCCTCCCTCCCCTCTCTCTCAAAATAAGTAAACATTTAAAAAGAAACATCAAAATGATCTTGGAAACTACACACATTTAAAGACAAAGGCCACATGTGTAGCAACATGGATGGACCTTGAGGGTGTTATGCTGAGCAAAATAAGTCAGGCAGAGAAGGACAAATACCATATGTTTGCACGTATAGGAGGATTAGGAGGAACTTGATGGAGGAACAAGGGGGAGAAGAAGGGGGGAAATGGTGGGGGAAAGGGAGAGAGGCAAACCATGAGAGACTCTTGAATGCTGACAAAAACTGAGGACTGATGGATGGGGGGGGAGGGGGGATGGACATGGAGGAGGGCACTTGTGGGGATGAGCACCGAGTGTTATGTGGAAACTAATTTGACAATAAACTATTTGTAAAAAAAGTAAAATAAATAAATAAATAAATAAATTTCGAAAGACTGCAAAAAAAAATAAAAATAAAAAAATAAAAATAAAGACAAAGGCCACTCTGATGGTAATGTAGCCTCAGGACCCGAGTCATGCTACAAGTCTGGGATTCACTTCCTCAGGAAGGCCATATTAACGTCCTAGACACAGTGATTAAATCATGGGAGCCCAGCACCAATGGTCAACACTCTATACATAAACCTTTCAGAGACTAGAAGAATCTGAAAGGCCGGTGTATGCACCTTCTCCCCATGAACTACTGGCACCCCCACCCCGCACCCGATGCTGTCTCACCCAGGGCTCCAGCCATGCAGATAAAAGTTGGGCACCTACCCATGTGCCCATTTGCTGCCATGCTGAGTGCTGCTGAGTTGTCTACACAAAGTCTTCTATTTTATTCAAGGCCGCCACGTACTCAGTTCTGGGCAACGCGTCATGACTGGTGTAAACCAGGGTTTTGCTGTGTCAGTACTCCTGACATTCTGGGCCCAATCATTTTTGTTGTGGGGGCTGTCCTGTGCGTTGTTAAGGCCTTCAACAGCACCCCCAGGCTCTGCCCAGCGGAAGCAAGTGGCTTTCCACAGGGATGACAACCAGAACTTTCCCCAGACGTGAGCAAATGTCCCCTGGGTGCAACACCGACCCCCAGCCGAGCATACTGGTCTAACCCAGTAACTGCAATCCTGTTCCACTTCTCCTTGGCCTCTTACAAGGGTCAGTGAGCCCCAAAGGGAAGGCTTTGCACCCTGATGAAAGTGACAACGGTGGGTGGTGCTGCTTCCTGTCTGAAACACAGATCTGAAGCCTAGAGTTCTGGTGACTGTGATGCAATGTGAGGTGACCAGGGGGACAAGGGGTGCTGGGTGGGGGGATGCGAGGCACTGGCTGAGGGGGGTGCTGGGGGTGGGGAGGGGGTGCTGGGTGGGGAGGATGGGAGGTGCTGGGGGAAGAGGGTGCTGGAGGGAGGGGAGGTGCTGGGGGAGGGGGTGCTGGGTGGAGGAAGGGGTGCTGGGGGGAGGGGGGTGTTAAGTTGGGGGAGGGAGGTGCTGGGGGAAGAGGGTGCTGGGGGAAGGGGAGGTGCTGGGGGAGGGGGCGCTGCTGCGTGGGAAGGGAGGGGGTACTGGGTGGGGAGAATGGGGGCACTGGGGGGGAAGGGGAAGGGGTACACAGAAAGGGGAATCCAGCTCTGTGATGTGCTCGTGGAGCCCAGGGCCAGCTTTGCACAGCGACTGCCTGCCCGAGCCTCCTGGTGATGGGAGCAAAACAGATGCCTGTCTGCTTCCAGCCCCCGTCAAGTCAGGATGTCAGTAACGGGAAGCAGAAAGCATTCCAAACAGGTGCCAACGGAGAAAACAAGATTCCGTCGTTCATTCTCACACACTCTTCCCCCGGGGGTCACGGCCAGGTGCACGGGACTGGCAGTAGGCAGGCAGAGCCGGGGGCACCTCGCTTCCTTTCCTGTTTCTCTGCCAGCCCCCCACGTTACCTACCCTTTGAAGCCCATGTCTGCTCCCCCAGCAAGAGTCCTTCCTGACACAGGAAACTGTGGACGCTCCTGCAGCTTTCCTCGCGGGCCAGCCCAGCTTGTATCCTGGGTACTTGGGGATTAACCAATACCTTAGGAAAGAGCCCTGATCTGGGGGCTGGGGAAGGGAACACCTCTTTCCAGCCAGCCCCGCCCCCGAAGGCATTTCTGAGATATCTTGTACTTGGTCCTCCGGGGGGTCTCAGCAGGGCTGACTCCCAGTTACCCACGGGGTCTCCCCTCACTATCCTTCACCCGCTTCCTCACCTTCCAGAAAAGCTGGTCATCCCCCAAGTCCTGTCTCAAGGCTTCCTGTTGCGCCAAGCTAAGTGCCCAACCTACCACGTGGAATGCCTGGTTTTCAGCCCCTTCTCTGCATCCTACGTTGAAATTATTCCAGCCCTGGCAAATTCTCAGGTCACAGGGGATTCCTGTTTTCCGTATAAATAATAAAGAAACCTCTGCAGTGATATCGTTGTTCCAGAAGCATACAGTAGGGGCTTGCCTAGGACACAGACGACCACAGGATCAACAAGGAGAGTGCCTCTGCTCTGTGCCCCTTGCCCCTCGGGAAGCAAGCCACCTACACGTTCCGGGACATCGGCTCGGTTGCCGGGGACCACAGGAAAGGTGAAGGATTTTGTTTGCCTGTTTCCACTTCCCGAATGCCGAATGCCACAACACTTCAGGTACAAAAGCCAGCCTCCTAAACAGGTCTAGAGCCTGCCAGCCTCCAATGAGTTCTGCTTCTCTTCAGAGAAAGTCACCTCCTCATTGTGGCTTCTCGGGGCCACTTATTTCAATAGACCTGTCACTTCGGGGCATTAATATTCCACTGAATTAATAAGAATCCACAGCCCCACTTGGGATTCTTATCAGCAGAGCTGACTCTATTCCTCGGGAAGCCAAAGACCAAAGAGCCAATAAATCAGCTTTTCAGAACCTGGTTACCTTTTTATTAAAATCCAAAGTTTTGATAATTCCAACGTTATTTCGTTCTGCCTGACGAGGGAAGATAAGAGGTGATGTGTGTCTATATGCTATGAACTACTGGAAAGTCTAAACAGTGTCGGTGGGGCATCCAATTCAATAATCCATCGTTTCTAAAAGGAAACGCTTCCTATTGAATATAATGAAATTGCAAGTGGGAAATTCAACTCAGGTGCAGAATAAAGCTTGCACTTGGAACAAAGTGGATGAGATATGCATTTCTACCCATTAACGCATAATAGTGTGCGTGCATTTGCTTTTGAAATGATCACATGATGACCACTGCTTAGCTCTCAAGCGACCTTCCACAGCTGCACCAAACACACTCTATGTTCAAGTGTCAATCCCAAGAAATACTCACGAATTAGTATCTTTAAAGGCTTTCTTAATATTGATATGTTAAATGGAAAGAAGACTTAAAAATACTTGTGCAAATTTTTTAGGCATCCCAGCAAGTATCCTCATTGCTAACCATCAAACCCAGGAAAGACAATCACACATTTTTTTCTTTTTTTTTTTTAAAGATTATTTATTTTGAGAGAGGGAGAGAGAGAATGAGTGTGGGAGGTACAGAAAGAGAGGGAGAGAGAAAGAGAATCCCAAGCAGGCTCCACACTGTCAGTGCAGAGCCTGATGTGGGGCTCAAACCCACAAACAGTGAGATCAAGACCTGAGCTGAAACCAAGAGTCGGATGCTCAACTGACTGAAGGTGCCCCTTGCATTTTTTTCTTTTAAAACATACATGCACATCTACTGTCAAGGGAAAAGGTAATGCATTTTCCTGGGAAAAAGAAGTGTGAGCTACCTCAGAGGTAATAGTAGAAAATTAAAATCTTTGAGAAGTTAAACACCAAAACCTTAGAGGGCAGTTCAGAAACTCCTCCGGAAGAGCTGTCAGATTTTTATTTTTAGAACAACTATAGAACAAGCTGGAAGGAGGAATGCATATAAGAAAGAAAAGATTCTTCTTCTTTTTTTTTTCTTTTTTTTTGATCCTTTCCCATTTAAATTACTGACACCAGTAATTTCTCAACAGGACGCCACTTCACCGGCCCAGGGGACCTTTAGCAATGTCTGGAGACATTTTTGGTAGACTAAGGGAGTGCTAGCATCATCTCGTGGAGAGACCAGGGTGGGTGCTAAATATCCCACAATTCCCAGGATGGCCCCCCCACCACAAAGAATTATCCAGCACCGAATGTCAACCGTAACAAGATTCCGAAGCCGTGACCTATGTGTGTCTTGCCCTCAGCAGGGAAGTTTAAGTGTTTCATCAAGGGGATATTTTTCAAGGGAGAAAAAATATACCGCTGTTTTTCATTCGTGTAACAAATAATTACTGAGCACATCAATTCACAAATAGCAATAACAAAATAACAACCGCCATTGACCAAAGGCACCCATGGGCTTTCCACAGGGGAGTTCATTCAGTCCCCATTACGACTCCCTACAGCAGCTACAGTCATTCACCTCACCTTCCAGAAGAGGAAACTGAGGCCCAGGACATTAGGTGACTGGCCCAGGTGTAGAGGCGATAAATGAAAGGACTGGAATTAAAAGCCAGGGGTCCAGGCTTCCAAGTTAGTTCCGCTGACCATTCTGCTCAGGCCAGGAGCCGTTCAGGGATGAGCACGCTAGACATCTGCTCCGTGCGGACTGTGTGAGACTGATGTGCAGGGCCCCGGAGGAGGGCACAGGGAAGGGGGAGAGGTGTACAGAACCTAACGCCAGATTCACCATCCATAACGAGACCCTGGACACGCCCAAAGGGGGTCTGCAATCCTGTAAATGCTTAGCGAACGCCAGAAACTTCCAGCAGACCCAGAAAAAAGGCAGAATGACAGCCAACACCTGGGCATTTCCCAGAGTGACGGGAAGGCGACGGACCCAAGAACAAAAGGGCTTGTAATTCAAATTAATTCATCAGGAAAAAATGAAGCGATGTGATTAACGCCATAAATGCTTGGGTAAAAAAGGAAATTACTAAACACTTATGATCAATTATAACTAAGCTCCAGAAGTAATAAAAGCAGACGAAGCTTCCCCCAAATCCAAGAGCATCACAAACACCGTCTAATAAGAGGAAGTGTCTGTTTGTCCCTGCAGGACAGGCAAGGCCTTGACTCCTCTGAAACTGATAGATCTCGCCTTTCAAAAATGAAACTGTCAGAGTCCAAAGCACCATCAATGGGACTCATTCTGACTACGATCTTTTTATTTCCAAGAAAGTTTTCCTCTCCAAAGCCTGTCATCACTTACGGGATTTGTTTCTTCCAGTATCTCCTGAAACACTCAGGGTAAAGTGAGTGTAAAAGAAAAAAAAAAAGGAAAAGAAAGAAAGAAAGAGGAAGGGCACCTGGGTGGCTCAGCCCATGAAGCATCTGACTCTTGATTTCAACGCAGGTCACCATCTCATGGTTTATGAGTTAGAGCCCCACGTCAGGCTCTGCGCTGACAGTACGGAGCCTGCTTGGGATTCTCTTTCCCTCTTGCGCTGTCCCTCCCCCGCCTTTCTCAAAATTAATAAAATAAACACTAAAAAAAAAAAGAAAAGAAGGAAGTTGTCTAAACGGAACCACAAGCCGAGGCTGATACCCTGAAGGACGCTGTGGCCGCCCACAGAGAACTCCCACGGGAGACTAGATGCCACCTCTCAGGACCCTGTGGGCCCAAGCGTGAAGCCAGCCAAGAGCAAAAATGGGGAAAAGCAATGAAATGAAATCACCGTGGCAGCAGCGCCTCACACTGGGTGAGGGGGGTCTGCGCCCGACCCCGTGTGTGCGTGTTGCACACATTCTCCCACTTAATTCTCCAAATTATCCAGTGAGGCTGTGATAAAGACGACCACGGACTGCATCCTAGAGGGTGGAGAGGAGCTGGAGACTGGCTGCGCGGAATCTGGCTCGGCCGGTCACTAACTCCGCACAGCCCTCCAGAGTTTACACAGCAGGGCCGCAGTTAGTCCCGGGGGAGGGGACGGAAGTCATGACTCCCCAGTTCACAGATGGGGGACAGGAGGCTCAGAGAAGGAAGCGCTCCCTCCAAGATGCCAGGTCATAAAGGGCAAGGCAGGGGTGTCTGTTCATCCAAAGCTACAGCCTGAGAACTTTCCACTCTGTGACATGTCACTGAAAAGGGAAACTGATGCCTACAGCACCATGTGACTCCAGCCACCAGCAAGTGGGGGGTCTAGGATGGCTGCTGGGCCCACCCCGCCATCCCTGCGCCCACCCTCAATGGGACAGGCTTGCCACTGCCAGAACACACACTTCTAAAGAACAAAGAAGAACAAAAACGGGCAGGGAGAAGCTAAGGGTGAAGGAAGAGCTCCTCAGGGAGCAGGAAGGGGTTTCCTACGGGGTGACCAATGCTGTGACCTCCCGCCCCACCCTGAGGGGTGTGCTTTCCTTTTTGATAGTTTCAGCTCAGAGGATGACAGCCGCACATCTCAAAGAAACTGTTCTTTGCTACGTTCTTCTGCTCAGCTCGGTCTCTGAGGAACTGAGTTCTCTAGATACGTATTGTTTCTTTATACATAAGTTTATTTACTTATTTTGCGAGAAATTACAAGCGGGGGTGGCAGAGAAAGGGGGAGACAGAGCAACCTCCATGCTGTCAGCACAGAGCCTGACATGGGGCTTAAACTCACGAACCGTGAGATCATGACCTGAGCGGAAACAAAGAGTTGGACGCTTAACCAGCTGAGCCACCCAGGTGCCCTGTCAACATACATCCTTTTTTTTTTTCCTTAGAGAGAGAGACAGCGTGAGCAGGGGAGGGTCAGAGAGAGGGAGACACAGAATCTGAAACAGGCTCCAGGCTCTGAGCTGTCCGTATAGAGCCCAACACAGCACTCGAACCCATGAACTACAAGATCAGGACCTCAGCCAAAGTCGACGCTTCATCGACTGAGCCACCCAGGTGTCCCAATATATATTCTTTAAAGGAGCAAAATCAACAGGTCCTGAGAGCCCTGGGACCGCACGGGACAGGTGGAGACATACCTGCCAGCATCAGGGCTCGGATGCATTCCGTCCGTCCCTGCATGGCGGCTTTCATCAGGGCCGTGAACCCAAACACGTTCCTCCTTTCAAGGTCAAGACCAGGAAAATAGTTCAACAAGTAGTTGGTGATGATGGCGTGCCCTGCAAAGAGAATTACACACGCTAATTGACCACATTCCACAAGGAGGGAAGCGTTCCTGGAAAGAGAATTCTTAGAGGAAGAGAGAGAGCGAGCCAGTCCACCTGCAGGGGGTGGGGTGGGGGGTTGCCTCTCAGACACAAGACTGAATTCTCATGAAGTCCAGTAAACAGGACACGGGGCACCATGCTAGTTCATTCTGGGTCTCTTTGGCACACCCCTCGGGGGCTCAGCTGTCTGTCAAACTGGTAAGGAGGGAGCATGGGGAGACAGTGTGTGGGGGTGGCGGGGACACAGAGCTGAACTAGCCTCCAGTGACACTAGCTGCTCAGGGGGAAGGTTCTGGATGCTGTCAGCTCCCAGCAGGTGATGCCAAGGCAAACAGATGCAGAACTAAAAATGAACCTCAGAGCCATTTCTCAGTCCTAAGAGAAGGTCACCAGCAATAGGATATGCCCGTTCATGTGGTCACTGTTACCACTGAGACATCTGTCTGTCTGTCTGTCTCTCTCTCTCTGTCTCTCTCTCTCTCTCTCTGTCTCTCTCTCTCTCACACACACACACACACACACACACACACAGAGGCAGTCAGGGAACTGGGAAATATTGCTACCCATACCCAGCCATAACCTAAGCTAGTAAGAACATTCATTTCAGAATACAGATTTTTCCATCCCCCCCACCCAAAAAAGAATACAGATTCTCCCCTTTACCACCTTGTACTTCCAAAAGGGACGTGATTTTATGCTCATTCCCAAATGGATCCTTAAAAAGCCCACAAGTTCTCAGATCAGGGTCAATAAGGAGAACGTCCTGTAAGAAGCATTATTCCCAGGATTCTCCAGGCTCACCCCCAGAAAACCAAAATGTGGGGGGGGCTCCTCAAACACAACTGCCAGGGCCACATAAAGAGGTTCTCGGGTCAAATGAACACGCTGCCCGATGCCTACTGGCCGTACTGAAGTCCTAGTGTGAAATCACAGCCACATTCCTCCACTTCAGTCACCTGGAGCAGGGCCCCAAGCCTGGCGCTAGTGACATTCGGGGCCAGACTGTTCTTGCCATAGGACTGTCCTGTGCACTGTCGGCCGGCCGGCAGCATCCCTGGTCTCCACCCTCTGGATGCCAGTAGCGTCCACATCGCTCCTTCCGCCCGGGTGTGACAACCAAAACTGGGTCCAGCCTGCCAAACACCCCATGTCGGATAAATCCCCCTGTTGAGAACTCCTGCCCTAGGTGCTCAGACTTCACGGTTTCAGGACTGAAAGTGGTGAGGTGGGAGATGGCTTTCTCTCCACCTCCCCTTCACCCTGGCCCCTGCACCCCCAGACCCTCCCCTGCACCCTGGCCCCTGCACCCCCAGACTCTCCCCTGCACCCCAGACCCTGCACCCCGGCCCCTGCACCCCCAGACCCCTCCCCTGCATCCTTGGGCCCTTCCCCTTACCCCAGCCCCGGCACCCCCAGACCCTTCCCGCAGCTGCCTCCTGCACCCAGGCCCCTGTTGACTCAGCCGACCTGCCCTGGAAACCGCGAGCGGGGGCAGGTCACCCCTCTCCTGGGCCCGGGTGGACGTGCTGGGCTCCCAGCCTCCGTCCTCACACGCCCAGGATCCAGCTCTCTGAACCCCCCCTTTCTTTCCAGGGCACATGTGTTCCTGGGGATCCCCCACCATCAGGCTGCAGGCATGCGGCCCCGTGGACACTCCAGTGCCCTCTGTCGTTAACTGGCCATCACCCTCTCCCCCGAGGGAGGCGCCTGCACCACGGAGATGCTAGGCCCTCGAGGCCCCTTCCCCCGGCTGACGCCAGGGCAGTCACTGCATGAGATCTAGGATGGGGCAGAGGAGGGGAGGCCTCATGGCTGCCCGCTCTCAATAAAAATTGGGGTGTGGACTCTTCTAGAAGCATTGTCTGCTTACCACGGACCTCAGCCCATCTCCTGAACTCGTGGCAAAAATTAAAAGGTGAACCATGAAGCTTTCTGAGAGAGAAATACTGACTAACAACATGACCTTGCCGGGAAGAAGCCAGAAACAAACAGGTGCCACACACCAGCCCGGTGACTCTCAGTTTCCAATCAGCTCGTGCTTCAGCTCATTTACCCACTGTGCCCTCCGTTGTCATCACAGTGCCATGGAAGGGACGATGCCAGCTGCCAGGTGCCCAGATCAGCTTAACTGCTCTAAACGGTCAGGGACAGGAGGGTCCTTTGATCTCAGTTTAGGCTTGTCACCCAGCTGAATGCTTTGTGGCACCTGTCACTTAGATTTAGCCAGGGTCAAAGTGAAACGAATTGTAATTCGTTTAGAGCCATTTCTTCTAAAATGTGAAAGCGTGTCTGTCATGATTTGCGGCAGGATGTCCTCTGCACCGATATATCCTAACGCTTTGAACAGACAGGAGAGGAAAACCCTGAAAACCCACACTGCGAACAGCGCACTATACAGAACTGTTCTGCTTCTTATGTTGAGCTCAGAAAAATCAACATGTGGCCGACTCCTCCTGACACACAGGCAGGAGCTTTCAGTGACCCATGAAATCCATCCCGTCCCCCTCCCCCGCGCTGGCTTTCTCAGGAGAGCAGAATAATCCCTCTTAAACACAGATGGCCTTGTTCAATGAAATCAACGCTGGACAAGACGCTTCTAAGAATATTAACCTTTCTTCTGTTAATAAGAAGACAACAGGTCCAAAATGGAGTCACTTATGCTAAGTCCCCAGTCACCAAACAGTTTTTAATTACAGTTTTGGCTCTCCCAGGAATGGGATCTTAGAATGAACAGGGCAGGGACAGAGAGAGACAGAGAGAGAGGACTGCAAGCAGGCTGTCAGGGCAGAGCCTGACGTGGGGTGCAATCCCACAAAGTGTGAGATCATGACCTGAGCCAAAATCAAGAGTTGGAGTAATACAGATAGATAGACAGACAGGACAAACACACACAGCCTTCCTTATATAACTAGAACGTGCACCATTCTGAAATCTAGTTTGAGCCCAGTCCAAACTTCTGGGATAAAATTTAGTTCCTGAAGTCCTCGGATAAAATCCTTTCAAAGGCTGGGCTCTCCCTTGAGACCCCTAGAGCAACCCCCATGAGCCTTACCCTGCCAAAGAGAAAGACAGAAGTGACCCAGGGGCTAAGTGAGTTCTGGATGAATTAGCTTCAGTGGCATGATTAAACAGCAGTGTAGACAGAGAACACAGTGCTTAGAAGAGCTGACTGCGAGAACACTCAAGTTCAAGTCCCAGCCTGCCACTTAAAATCTGGGTGACCCGGGAAAGTGAGTCAACTTCACTGAGTCTCTGTTTCCACTTCTGGAAAATGGGAGATAATATCGACCTCACCATTGTGAAAATCACAGAAGACAGTGTGTGTCAAAAAGTGCCTTGCAGGGGCGCCTGGGTGGCTCAGCTGGTTGAGTGTCCGACTTCGGCTCAGGTCGTGATCCCCCAGTAAGTGGGCTCGAGCCCCGCATCGGGCTCTGTGCTGACAGCTCAGAGCCTGGAGCCTGCCTCAGATTCTGTGTCTCCCTCTCTCTTTGCTGATACTCTGTCATTCTCAGAAATGAATAAACGTTAAGAAAATTTTTTTTTAAAAATAAGTGTCTTGCAGAAAAATTCCAGATAATTCACGCAGGTACTACACTCTGAAGGTGGTGGAGCATAACAGCCTACTCCTTACTGCGTGGCTGTGAGAGTGACTTCCGTCCGAGGAGGAGACGATGCTGAGCAGGGAGGGGACAGCAGAGAAACCTGACAAACACAACAGCCTCAACCAGGTGACCAAGGTGACCCTCCATGGTGATAAGTCATGTCGACGTCTGTACTGACCAAGATTCGTGGCTGGACCAAACTTTAGTCGGGCTCCTGAACCCTCTCCCAGACCTGTCTGTGCATTTCCTTGAAAATCTAGTTTTAATAAGAACTCTGTTCAGTTTGACCAGCACCCCATCCTCCACATCTGATCCTGGGTCTCATCCTCCACACCCCCTAGGGGAGGACAGATCACCCGTCCCATCTTCAGCAAGAATCCTATTACCTCAGTTCAGCCAGAACTTCCTTTACCCCGGATGCTCTTCTGAGTAACTTTCCACGTGCTGTCCCCCACCCTGTTCCTTGGCTATAAATTCCCACTTGCCTGTGCTGTACCGGGAGCTGAGCCAACCCCCACCCCCGCCGGCATCTGCAAACTCCTGTGGCAGTGGCCCTGTCTCAGCGGTGCTGAATGAAGCCTTTCCCCATCGTTAACAACTGTCCCTGCATTTTTAAACAGGACCTTTGAATTAAGATGTGATGAGAACAGTACTGTGATCCGCAGCCCTCCGTCAAAACTTACAACCCTAGTGTCATCGTGAGGAAACATGAGGCACCCCCAAACTGAGGGATACTCTTACCAACTCCCTGACCAGCATTCCCCTACACTGTCAAGGTCATAAAAACAAGGAATGTGTAAGAAACCATCACAGCCAAGAGGAGCCTCACATGACAACTAAATGCAACATGGAACCCCCCATGAGATCCGGAACAGAAGGGCATCAGAGAAAAGCTGATAAAGTCTGAGTAAAGAATGGACGTGAGTGATGGCTGATAAAGCATCGATACTGGTTCATTCACCGTGCCGAACAGACCCCACTAATGTAAGATCTAAGCACGGGGGGCGGGGGGGAACTAGGTGTGGGTATAAGTGGGTATAAGAGACTTTCTGTAGCTCTTCTGTGAGTCTAACTATTGTAAAATCAAACATGTGTTTTTAAAAAAAAAGGAGCACATAGCATGGGGCCGCTCGACAAGAATACAAGGTCAGGACAGTGGTTCTGGGTGGGCAGCTGGGTGTGGATCCTCTCCGCACTGCACCCAAGCCTTCCTGGGTGGTGGGCAGCCAAGGGGCCCCAGGAGAGCAGGCGGGTGGGGAGGCGTGGCTGACTTTGCGGGCCCCTAAAGAACTGACTGGACAGGCCTTGGTGACTGTTTGGCTGAGCCAAGCGCAGAAACTAAAAAGCTGA